CTGTGTTGTGTCATGCTGGTGTAGGAGCTGGATCCCGTATCCCACCCAAAATGTCCTGTTTTGTCCTCCCCATGGCTCTGTCAGCGTGCAAGGAGTTTCCTCCACATGGAGCTCTTGCCGTTGACAGTCCCTTCATTGTTTGCTTCGCTCCTGTTCCTCCATGCCACCATCCCCCTCCCCATCGTATGCCTGTGTGGCTGATATAGTTTCTTGTGTCACCCCAAATAGTACTCACAGTTTGCCCTTTGTGTCCTGTTGCGTGTTGGTCTCCTGACTGTCAGCCCCTCCTCTCAGTGTGGTGCTCTGTTAGTTCTCCTGCTCCCGTCGTGCCGGGCCCGGGTTCCAGTCTCTGCGTCGCTGTTGCTGGAGTCTTGGGGGCCCTGGTCTGGTCTGCTCGGCTGTTGCGGTCCAGGCGGTGGTTGGAGAAAAGAGCTTGCTAGCCAGTCTGGTACTTGGATCGGTGGGATGCCCATGGCTTGAAGGAAACCAGGGAGGTTGCTTGGTTTCTTCACCGTATGTTGATCCTGGCCGTGTCTAGCTGAGAGTGAGAATGGGTAACCCCAGCGGTATGGTATTCCTGCCTGTTGCAGGGCGGATATTACTGGGCATAGCGCTCTTCTGGCTTGTAGGGTGTATCTAGATAGGTCTTGATAAATCGATATGGTTTGATTCTCGAAGCGTATGGTTCCCATGCGTCGGGCCGTGTGCAGGATGTCTTCTTTCAATTGGTAATTTTCTAGGCAGCATATGATATCTCTTGGTTGTTCTTCTGGTGATGGCATTGGTCGCAGTGCCCTGTGTGCCCTTACTTTGCCTAGTCTGGGTATTTGCTGGCCCCCCCAGTATCTGAGCCACTTTAGGGTGTCGGGTATGTGTTCCGCTGGGTCACCTTCCCTCACCCCGCGGACGCGCAGGTTCAGCCTGCGGCCGTGGTTGTCCAAGTCGTCTACCCACGTGGTGAGGCTGGCTAGGTCTGCTTCCTGGTTGGTGACTGTGGAGTTGGTGTGTTCTAGGTCTGTGTGGAGCGCTCTGGTCTCTGACTCTGCTACTGACATGCGGGCCTCCACATTAGCCAGGTCTGCGCGTAGCTGGGCCACCTCCTCTCTCACTACCCTGCCCAGGCGGTCTGACAGGGCCTCAAAGTCAGCCTTAGTTAGTAGGTTTGGCAGTATGGCCCTCCACTCACCCTCCTGCGTTAGTTGTGGCTCAGAGCTGAATGAGGGTGTGGGTGACAGTCTGACTGGTGTGGAGGGGAAAGACTCCATGCCCTGGCTTACCTCCTCCATCTCCCGTTGCGGTGACCGCGGGTGGGCCGTGGCTTGAAGGTAGGAGCGGATGGATTGCTCCCCCTCCCTGCCTGACGACCTCGGGGTGCCACTGGGGTCTGTGGGCTTCTGTGTGCGACCCATGATTTGTGCGTGGGCGAGCGGTATGCACCGTTATAGCTTCCTTATTGCGGGCACCACGAGGAGCATCTGCACTAGACGTCCATCTTCCTCGGCCATCGGACACGCCCCCCTTAATATGAATGTGACAACAGGCAAAAAAGATACAAACGCTATAGTTGAGCCGGGAAAAAAAATGAACATTACTCAGTCTAACTCCCAAAAGTGCAAGAAGTTGAATTCCACTTTCCTTTCAAACATCTGCAAAGTATTTTGCACACAATGAGACATAACTTCATAGACTTTAGTAATATGTAATTTACATAATACTTTTTCCAGTGTCAGAGCTTGTGTGGACTTTTCTGATGTGGCCTATGGAGATCAGAGCTCTAGATATGTAGTTAAATATTCTTTTATACTTTCACTGATTCTTTCCCCATTATTTTATCTCTAAATATATATCTGATCACTCCCTATGTATTCATATCTCTTAATCTCACTTTATTTAGTGTTTATGTCCTCCATAGATGCAGTTGCGTAACAAAATCGTAATTATCAAAATAACAACAACAAAAAAAAATTACCCCCAATAGTTCCAGCAAATAAAATTCTATCCATTTACTGATTGGCCATAGTAAAAAAAAACAAAAAACAATAAGGCTTTGTGGGATGGCAGAAGTATTATACCTATATATGTGCGTGTATTTGTGTTGGGGTGTTTTGTGCAGTCATTTCATACGGCATGTCTTTTTTATCCTTGGCTGTTGCTTTTTCTTCTTCTGTTGATTATTAGTCCGTGACATAGAAGTGCATGACTTTGAGCACATTGATTCTCTGTCTTTGTTCAAATCACTAGAGCAATTTTGGTTTTCTTATTACGCTAAAAGCTTTCTATTTTCGGGACCATTATTAGTATTTTCAGAAAACTAAGCAA